TACTGGCATGAGACCTGGAGTTGCGCCCCCCTGCCCCCCCCCCCAATACAGCCTTTGGGAACAGCAGCAGTGGCACTGGGTGCACATGCAGCTGAGGCAAGGACTAGCTGGCTGATTGCTAGACTATTTCCACTTATTCTTCTTGGGCTTTCTGCAGGCATCAGAAACCCTTGAAAAGTAGAGCACAGACCAGCAGGACTTTATTCCCTTTGTTCTGAGTGTGTCTTGGACACAGTCTTAAGAGACTGCAACAAAGCTGTTTGCTGCTGCTACAGTCTGTGCATCTCTTCCCCAACTATGCGACTGGAGCCTAACTGTAGCAGTGGCATTTAACACAGCTTTGCAGATACTTGGCTAATCTTTGCAGCCACTCCCCTCTGCAGTGAAGTCTTTCAAGAGGGAAGAGGCCACAGGCAGAAAAATGAATCTGAAATCTCCCTGTGTTTTAATACAGCTGGGGCTGGAAACCAGGTCTTTTAACAATTTAGCCTTTGCTTAAGCTACTGGATTATTCTATTTCCAGAGCTGCACTAGCTTGGATATTATAACCTAGTGATCCCTGACTGCATCCTCTTATCTTCTAATTCAGCATCCAGTCTGGACCCACTGTGACCCTGACACGGCTGATGTGCCCTTATATCTGGGGGATGTGAGGGCAGCCCAAGGGCTTCCACCTTCATGGAAATCTGAAGGCTGGGCTACTTTTTAGTTGAGGTTTGAGTCCTGGTTTTACAAGAGTTGCTACATAATGCCACTATGTGTCTAGACTGGGTATTGCACTTTCAGCATAGATCTCGGGATAATTTAGGATCAAAAAAGCACTGCAACTGTGCCCCTGAAAGATGCTCATAAGGACAAGGTGGCTCAGCAGACAGATCCCATACACAGTCCTGTGTAGCTCAGGAGGAAATAATAAGATCAAACCCTTCTCACGTTTTGCTTGTTCTGTGCTGCTTGTTGAAGGTCAGGGGCTTCTGAACTTCAGTATCTGCTGGGCTGTATTGAGTTAGTTTTTCTTGTGCTTTGGGGAACTGCACAAGTACACGAGTGTAAAGCACTGTGGTACTGCAGCCTTTGTTGGCAATGAGGGGCCAGACCTTGATTCATCCTAGGCCTGTGAAATCTCTGCTTGGAGCCCATTTTTTCAATTGTTCTGCTGCAAGTGAGGAATACTGTTCATCCCCCCCCCCCCTTTTAAGTACCAGTAATTTGATTAATCTGCCGACAAGGTTATACTATGGTCAGCACTGCAGAGATGGAGCGAACGTCTTTTCTAACTGTATCAACTAAATGGCTAGCTGAGTTCTGAGCCTTGGGTTTTAGCTTTCTGCTAGAGAGGCATCCTGGAAAGCACTGGGAACACTATGCGGGTTTTGTTTTGCAGTGGTGTCAAGTGTGAACCTCACATTTTATATGTAAGTAGCTCTAACGTCCTCTTCAATTCCACTGTTTTGTTTTTGATTTTGAGATTTAAATAGATTCTGATGCCATAGGGTCACTTTTCTGCTAGTAGCACACAAGCAGCTGCTTAGTTGTAGTTAGGTGGCAGTCTGAAAGTGAAAAATGGGGTGGGGGAGGACTTGCAGCTGGCTCTTGAAAGGAGATTAGATTTGCCTGTTGCTTCAGCCCCGATGAGCCAGTCTGGGCTCTGTGCTGTTTGCATTAGGAAAAAAACAAAAACAAGGTAGTGCTTTTGCAGAGGGCTGTCCTGCAGCTAATGCGGTCAACAGACTAATATGCCAGTTGCCTTGTGCCTTTTAAGGTAATATCAGGTTGGGAAAGGTGACACAGACTGGAACTAAACCAGTGTTAAGCCCTCAGGTTTAGCTCTTGTGCTGTTCTCCCAGCACCTGGTGGAATCCAGATGTTTTATCTTGGGGTGGAACTGCTGGCATGGTGGTGAGCTTTCACGCTGTTCTGCAACCTTTGCAGAAAATGGAAATAGGTTCCATCAACTGAAAGAAATTCCATCAACTGCACTGAAATGTATTTGAGATCTTCTTCTTCTCTCTTTCCATATTACTAACAAAATGGTTCCCTTCCAGCCCCATTGCAAAGCCTTCAAGTCAAGGATTGTTGACCCTGACACAGTCCCAAACTGCAGTCGATTCTCAGTTTGGTCCAGGACCAAAAGCCAAATAAGCCTGGTCGTCTTTGGGCGAACTGCCTCTTGGTGAGGTAGCAAGTGGGGAGGTTTGAGACTTGTAGTGTGCTGACACCACCTCCAAACATACTCCAGCCTTGGGAAAGCCACTAGGGCGTGGTGGGTTTGTTTGGAATTGCTCATCTTCTCTTAGACTTCATTCTGGTTGAGAGGAATACGGCCTTGTCTAGGCCACCTCTGCAGTGGGCCCCAGGGGGGAATGGGGCTGAGCATTTTGCTGTGCTCCAGAGCCAAAAGTTTGCATGTGAAGTTGCTCCAAACTTGCATTCCAGTGCAGCTGCTGGGGATCTGCAGCCCTTGGATGAGCATCTGGTTTTGGAGCAAGTCGGCCATCCAGGATGGCTAAGGTGGGATCTGCCCTGGCTTCCACAAGATCTGCTGTTGATGCAGCAGAAGTGAACTCCCATGCATCCTGCTTCTGTCTGCATCCTTCACTAATAACCTGTCACCAACTTGTTGCTGCAGATGGTCTGTGTCACTCAAATGCTATCACCACTATTCAAACAGCAGCACCCAACAGTGGTGGGACACAAGCCAGTAACTCTTCTACCCCCAGGGAGGGGTGAAACGCAGTAGGCCTTGCTGCAAACTGACAGTGGGTAGCATTGGGCTTACTGACCTGTGAACAGTGAATATGGCATTAATCAGCCAAGACTGCAGAAGAGTTGTATATGTGGCTGTCTGGGGAGGAGCTGCTATTCATGCAGTATCTTGATTTCCAGGCTTTGGTTCCAGGGTGCTGCAGCCAGTCTCCCTTGCCTTTTTTTTTTTTTTCTCTGTCTCTTGCAGGGGTCCTGACAGCTGGCGAGCACTCCTTTCCCTTCCAGTTCTTGCTACCAGGTATGGCACAAATGTCCCCTGGGATTCGGACTAGCGGCTAATACAGCAACTCTTTCTCTCCCTCTTCTCC